TCTGTTTTTAACGCATGTGATGAGGATTTAGCATTATTTTCATTGTTTACACTCGGACTAATATCCTCATCTCTGTTGTTGTCATAACGCCAACAACGTTAATGACAAACTAAGAGAAAGAAAAAATGCTGAAAATTATTCAAATATTTTTCTCAACCTCCTGAATTATTTTGTTCCATGTTCATTAAACTTACATAAAAATATCTGGTGGGACATTTATTTGAATTGTCAGTGCTTATTTTAGAAGTTGAAAGATCCCATCGGCATGTGTGATGAAGATAGCACTTGTATTTCGTACTAAACAGAATCCATACATGCTTGCTTGCCCTGAGATATGAGAAATATTTATTAAGGAGATATTTTCAGCACGCCCACGTCGGAAGCCGAAAGCGACACAGGGTCAGTTTAAAGTGGGTTTAACGGCAATACCGTGCAAAAAATGTCTCAAGCCCTCTCGGCAATTCTCTTTTCGGAGACGCCCCAGGCGCAGGGTTATGATCCCAACACCCTGCCAAAGGGGAGGTACTGATTGGGGGAGGGGAATGGTCTCCCTGGCGCTTCAGGCGCTTCATTTTTTGAAACTTGCCCGGCGGAAATGAACATCTACATCAGGTAATATAAAAGGATTTTCTGAGCGTGGCATCCATGGCGCATAGGGACGAAAGCGTGGAGCAAACAGTGAAGTTCGAACTAATTGCTGAGTTGTAATTGGTCAAACAAGACAAATTTTATAAACATTACACCAGTCCGAAATGCAGGGGGGAGATATTTATTAAGGCAGGCAATAAAATGAGACGTCGTAAGTAGAATTTTGTTGACGGAACGAGCAGATTATGTGATTATGCCTATAACAACGGTTACATTAACAAGGTATTTCAAATTTCTTATTTGATTTACTATATTACTTATTTTCAGGTGTTATATCTATCTATCTATCTATCTATCTATATAGCTAGCTAGCGAACTATAAATCTATCCATCTATCTTTCAATCTCTCTCTGTCTCTGTCTCTGTCTGTCTGTCTGTCTGTCTGTCTCTCTCTCTCTCTCTCTCTGTATATATATATATATATATATATATATATATATATATATATATATATATATATATATATATATATGTTGTAATTTCTGGAGTACATTGTATATTTGGCTGGTGTAGTCACCGATTTATTTATAAGCTTATTTGAATAAATTTTATTTATAATTCACGCATACACATAAATTCACAGACACACACATACACAAACACACACACACACACGCTCACACACACACATATATATATATATATATTCTATGTCAAAGTCTCCTCCTCCTCCTATTACTATCTCTATATCCATACAAATATATATGTATGTAGGTATAACAAAAACTCTCTCACACACTCACACACACACCATATGCAGATATTTTCCAGTGATTTTTTAAGATATGTACCTTTACTATTTATATATATATATATATATATATATATATATATATATATATATATATATATATATATATATATATATACGTGGATCTCGACCAAGAGATCTTCACAAAAATGTTGCTATTTGGGAAAATGATTATGTTTTGAGTTACGGTCAGGGGTATGTTTTTATCTGTGAGTTCATATACCTACACACACACACACACAGACACACACAAACACACAGACACAGACACACACACACAAACACACACACAAACAGAAACAAACACATTCCCATATACATATACACAGTGATCAAGACAGAGACGCAGAGATAAACTAAACCTATTTCTTTCTTACAACTTCCCCTATAGAATAATTATTTGCTATTTTTGATCATATATCTTCGTGGATCATTTTTCAATGTTTTCAGCGAAAGGAGGGTCAGTATAAACTTAGGATGAATGAAATGTTAGATAAAATGGCTACAAAAACAAAGCACACACACACACACACTCACACACACACACACACATATATATATATATATATATATATATATATATATCAGTGTGTACAAGTGTTCATATATTTGTGTATATATCAAAATAATGTTAGAAAAATGAATGAGAAATTGGACAAATGCTGTTTATATAATTTCGTTCCCTAGAATGTCTTCATCAGACTGAAGTAATATTTTAGTAATGGAAATACACACACACACATATATATATATACAGTGTAACCCGGATATAAGAGAGTTGTCAGGACCGGAGAAGAAGTCTCTTATATCCGGGTTTCTCTTATATCCGGGTTTGGTCTATTTTGTTTAGGTAAGTATGGGAACACTTATATCCGGGTTTTCTCTTATATCCGGTCTCTTATATCCGGGTTACACTGTATATATGTATGTACGTATGTGTGCGTTTGTGTGTATGTGCGTGTGTGTATGTGTGTGTATGTGTGCGTTTGTGTGTTTGTGTGTGTCAATGTGTATAAGTATTAGAGTTTATATAGAAATACGAACGTCTGGTATAATTGTTCACCGAATCGTTGAAGTTATGTAAAAGTTGAGATATAAATTTAACTTTTCTTTTTTTTTTATACACGCATCCCGACATATGGTCTATCTGATCATATTTTTCCTCCGTTTCTGTTGTTCGTTTTTTTTTTTTTACGCCTTTGGTTTTTAGTCTTCCGCATTGTTGATATGAGGTGCTCAGTTCTAGATGTCAAAACGCATGACACAGAAGTTTTCCACTTTGTCATTGACTTGCCTAATATATATTTACACATACGAAGTGGGTTGAATTTGTTACAAGGTATTGCGATAAAATCATATAGGGTTCATGCAAAAGCTATATAAGATTTGCACATACAAAAATAAACCGAGAGATATGAAGATATGAGATAGATAGTGAGACAAACGAACGGATATTTATTGCCAATATAAATATAATTTGAATGGCTGGTGGCATTAAAATATAAATAAAAAAAGAACCATTCTGAAAGTTTTAGTGAAAACTTTGACTAAACATATATTAAACACTATATATATGCATATATTCATACATACTGTTATGCAGGAACATATATATATATATATATATATATATATATATATATATATATATATATATATATATATATATATACACAGATGTTGATAAATGTGTGTCATCGTATGTGCGTGCGTGCGTGCATGTATTTGTATAGTATATATATATATATATATATATATATATATATATATATATTGCTTAAATTAATAAAATTAATACATAGTATAGATTAATAAAATTTTCCTTGTCCGTCATATTTAACGAAATATCTTGGTTACTGATCAAATATAGATTCACACAGACACACATACACACACAAATACATACATACATATATATATATATATATATATGTGTGTGTGTGTGTGTGTGTGTGTGTGTGTGTGTGTGTGTGTGTGTGAAAGTGTGAAAAGTAAAAGTGTGTATATATATATATATATATATATATATATATATACAGATATTGATAAATTTTGTGTATGTGCGTGTGTGTGCATGCATGTATTTGTATAGTGTATATATATATATATATATATATATATATATATATATATATATATATATATATATATATATAGTTTAAATTAATAAAATTAATATATAGTATAGATTAATAAAATTTTCCTTGTCCGTTATATTTAAAGAAATATCTTGGGTTACTGACAAATATAGATTCACACACACACACACATATATATATATATATATATATATATATATATATATATATATATGTGTGTGTGTGTGTGTGTGTGTGTGTGTGTGTGTGTGTGTGTGTGTGAAAAGTGTATATATATATATATATATATGTGTGTGTGTGTGTGTGCGTATTTGTTTGTTTATATCGAGGGTTCGATGTAGAAATGATGAAATTTAAATTTAATTTTTCTTTATTTTTTAGACGTGTCTAGACCCAGCGTTTGACAAATTACATTTACTTTTCTTATTTTTCACTTTTTGTTTTCATCATTTTAGTTTTTAGTATCAAATACCGCAATAAATGAAGTTCTGTTCGAGATTTCGAACCGAGTTATACATCATTTTTCAAACTTCACCTGTCTTTGTCTATCAAATCTACTCCCATTTTGTACGTTAGTCCTTTCTATCTATCTATCTATCTATCTATCTATCTATGACTTTCATATATTACCCTATATATATATATATATATATATATATATATATATATATATATATATATATATATATATATATATATATATATATATATATATATTACATTCAAAACGTAGAAATTCCAATTTACATGCAAATCCTTTAACCTTCAACATTAAATCCGACTTCCAGCCACGTCATTTTGCAACACGGGTTCCCGTATGATCACCGAAGTTAAGCAACGTCGAGCCTGGTCAGTACCTAGATGGGTGACCGCTTGGGAATATCAGGTACTGTAAGCTTGGATGTTCGGGTTGTTTAAGCGATAATGGCTCGGAACTTTTAATCGGAGAGGCGACTTCCAATTCCAGTTAAGTTCGTCATAATCACTTACGCCCAAATGCCCTTTGGAAAGGAATGAATACCACTTTTTTCTCCCCAGCTATGGGTTAATTAGTAAGACTTGTGTTACTATATCAATATTATTTCAAAAAGAAATTTAAGATCTAAAAATATTTTCTGCCTTTAAATAATCCACAAAGACTTGATAAGCTGTAGAAAACGAATTAATAAATTTTTTAACGCAGCAAAATAATGCGAAAGAATGTAATCATCTTTTTTTATGTGCCATTTTCCTTCAAGACGATTTTATAGTAGCTCTCCACATCTTCTTATCCGTTTTCATTTTCTATCTATCTATCTATCTATCTATCTATCTATCTATCTATCTGTCTGTCTGTCTGTCTGTCTGTCTGTTTGTTTGTTTGTTTGTCTTAATCAAACGGTACATGTCGAAGAGCAGATTAAAAATTTAAAAAGTACATTTAAACACCTGTAAAATCCAACTAATATGTTCGGATCCCAGAAATAACTTTAACCTTAAATCAATTTTTCCGTCCGCATTAT